AATGATAAATTCATAAAGTGAAAACACCAAGTTGCTGCTCAAACTTGAAACTTCAAAACAACAAACTACAATACTGCCTTAGACTCTTTAGGGTTTACTGTTTTGTCATTTAGTTTTTTGCTATTCAAGTTTAGACTCCAAAATTTAAAAATTGAAATGGGTCGGGTAAAGTTAAAAACTTAAAATATTTTGAGTCAAAATATATAAGTATTAAGTAATATAATTTAAATATTTTTAAAATTTATTTGATAAAACTTCAGTTTTTCGGTGCATCGTAGTTTCGGGACCCTTACATCGAATATCGAACCGAAGTTTCCGAAAAAAAGAATCGACACAGAACAGAAACATCGAAGAACCGAATTAGTTAAATTCGGTTCAGTTTTTCGATTTTCTGGTATTTATGCCCACCCCTAGTGGGTTCCGTGGACTCGAATTATTTATTTTCTATCTATTTCATCTTTTTCTGTTTCTGTTTTTCCTAACCTGAATACCTGAGATAACAATCTCAACCATCTCATTGTAAACCAAAATAATCGACCAAGTTTTCTAATTCCTTTCCTCTCCTTGTGTTTTTGTTTTCTCCATTTTGTTTTTTTCTTCCATTATTTTCTTTTGTCTTACAATTGTGAACTTAACTGAGTGTCCAGCTAAAGACAAAGAAAAATGTTGGCAATGAGTTGGACTTCATAGTTTGAAATATTGTCGTGTTACAATATATTTAATGCTACTTCTGGCTAATATCTCCATAGGTGAAATTTTATTATATTATATTATTTGTGTATGTAAATATTTTGAAATTTATATTTAATAATTAAAGTTAAATTTACTTTAAATTTAAAAAGAGTATCCTTCTTTCCAAAATAATTTTAAAAAATAGTGTCAACCGTAATGATAAATGAAATGATTAAGTTCAAGTTGACTAGTAATACTTTTTCAAGCTTTTACTTCTTCTTTTTTCTCCTTTTTCTTCTTCTTAGTTGGCGATCTTTTTGAGTCGTTATTTAAACTATGATCACGAAGAAAAATGAGAACTTTTATTACTCTCTTTATTTCATTTTGTTTAGTATTGTAGTACTTTTTATTAATCTATTTAAAGAATCTTATATTTTTAAAGTATTACATTAATATTAAGAATATTTAGTAAAGTTTTTATACTAACATAAAATAATATGATGTTTTAAATTATTATTTTTTATATCTCTCAACTTTGTGAATTGTTTGTATAACGGTAAGGGTATACATGAATCACTTTCATAACGAGGGACATATTAGATCCAAATGACAAAATTAAGAGGTATATTAGGCACTTTTCCCTCGAATTAAATTATACTATTTCATTTTCATTTGTTTGTCTTACTTTCCTCTTATGACAATTCTATAATTTAATTTATAACTTTCACTTGGTTAGTGAAGGAGTTGTTATGCAATCTGTATTCTCAACCAATACTACTGATTGCAAACTTTTTCAGAAATAGTAAATTCCAAAGTTTAAATCATGTAGTGAAGAACATAAATCAATTAACAGAAACTAATTACTGTAAAACATACCAGAATCTGTAACAGTCGTATGAAACAGAACGAAAGCAGAATCGAATCCACTGAATGCACCGTGTCCCCTTAAGGAAATTATTCTCCTCTGGTATCCAAGGTTTGAATTGGAATATATCCTCTCAGGATAGAACAATTATATTCACCAGTGTATTGATACCCAAAACGCTGGTGTCAGCGAACCACTCAACGGCAGCAAAGTACACGAATAAAATTTGTGCAGAAGAAGAAGTTCAGAAATTTTCATAAGTAAAAAATTTGAGGATTCACAGGTATTTATAGCCAAGAGGAACTTTCAGAATCCACATGACCATTCATGAAATTTTGCAACCTTTCAAACGGTTATGACTGTTCTCGATTGATCATTTTCCGAAGTCGAAGCCGAAGCCGAGCGACAACGGTGGCGCGAGGGGGTCCCTCTTTCCAACCCTTTTAACAACTAGTAGAAATGTTTCTCTATTTAAACACTTCAATTTTTCTTTCCACCACCAATGAGAGAGAAATGCCTTTTATTAAAGCATAAAAAAATCTTTTCCAATTCCTCTTTTAATCTTCCCTCTTTTTCCCATTAACCCTTGCTATATTCAATAGGAGTCACACATTCTTAAGGGGTGTCAACCGACAACCCTTCATAGAAAAATTATATTGTGTAGCATGATAATTTTTTTTTTATTATTTATATGTATTTTGATACCCCTTGGCTGCTTGGATTTACCTCTTAATATTTTGATTTTCTTAATGAAAAATTTATCTCTATTACTGTTCATAGTATGCTTAAGACCACAAAAGTTAAATTTAATTTTTTTTTTTATATATTTTGAATTTAAGATCATAAAAGTTAAAATTTTATTTTATTTTTAAAACTCTGATGTAAAATAAAAATAAAAATAAGAGAGTATTAAACAAATGCATTATCACCATAAATGGTTACCTAACATACTAATCTATGTCTATAATAATGGAAACAAAACCTATTTTCAAAGAATTAGTGGGGATCTAATACTAATAAATTTAGGGACCCAAAAGGTGATTTATAAGTTTTTAACCTATGTAGTATTGTAATAGCACTTCAATTAATTAATTTTGTCATAATATGGGATATTGGACAAAGCCACATTGTTGAACGAGAAGCAATATCCTTGGTCCGGTAAATCATTGCCGGCACTTTAACATTCACGTGTCGGTCACTTTTATTTACTCAACTCTCTCGACTACCAAATACAACTATACTCGCTATTCTGGACTTACATGTGGAGTATGATCCATACTAAGAGAGTGTGTGATACACAGTTTGCTTAGCGCGTAGGATTTCAGTGTACATAAATTCAAAATTCTACGCTCCAACCTCCATGTCACGACAGCTTAGTATAACAGACAGACGTAGACTCGACGGTACTGTGAAATTACAGCTCAACTTTCACCCAATATTTACGAACGGAACAAATATACTCCGCTTGCGCAACTATAAAATTGTCTTTCGTAATTTATAGTTATGATTTTATAGTCATAATGGTGATTTTTACGACTTAAACTCATAATTTATAGATCATACAACTTATCCTGATATTAATGACTCTTGGAATGTGGTACCTTTTTTAACTTTGCTAATACTCTATCTGTCCCTAATTACTTGTTCATTTTAATAAATCAAGAAAGAACAATTTTTTTTACCTATTATACCCTCAATTAATTACTTTGAAAAATGTAGAACTTTTTGAAATTTTTTAATTGATCCACTTCATAATTAATAGGGGTAAAATGGTAAACTTACTATGTAGAGTAATTGTTTTTTTAATAGGTGTATCAATTCAAAAGTGAACAAATAATTAGGGACCGAGTGAGTATAGAATATTTAGGTCGTTTGGTGCGAGAGATAAAAATAAATAGTATGGATAAAATTTTGATGTCTTGTTTGGTTGTCAAGTTTGAAATAACTTATCCTATCATTTATAACATAGTGATGAGATAAATTATGTCAAAATAGCTAATTCCAGAATAATTAATCTTGAATAACATATTCTCAACTAAACGACTGTTTAGTATTCTGAATGGCCTGTGTTAGACTGATTTTTATGAAAATGTTTTGCTTGAAATATAATTTGTTGATACAATTGGTAGTGTAAGGTATTATTTCAGTGTTAAATGTTAAGCTGACAGAAATACGTTACTAGCTAGTGTTACTACTTATTCAGATTCTTAATCAATTCATCTCTATACTATTTTCAATGATTAGCTAATCGAAATACTTTTTCCGTTCCTAATTACTTGTTCATTTTTGAATTGACACACATATTAAGAAATCAATTATTGACATATTGAGTTTACCAATTTATTCCTATTAATTATGAAGTAGATGAATTAAAAACTTAAGATTTTTAATAAGTTCTACCTTTTTCAAAGTAATTAATTGAGGATATAATAGGTAAAAATATTTTGTCCTTTCTTAATTTGTTAAAATGGACAAATAATTAAGGACAACTAAAAAAAGGAAAAGTGAACGAGTAATTAGGGACACAAGGAGTACTATTTTTTTTAATTCTCTCAATGAATTATGAAAAACGTAATTTTTTGATTATAGCCTACTTTCACGTATCAAATTGTAATTAATTGACTTTCGAAACCTTAGATACGAATATAGTGTGTAAAAATAAGTTTCTCATAATCATGATCCAAAATTAACAAGTGAAGTTATTGTGTATCGGATCACCCCATAAATTTATGCAAGGAGAAGGAGGGTTATTTACCATTTAAATAGAAGAAATAAAAATTGTGTTATTTTTAAAATTAAAATTCGAGATGAAGATCAAAATCAACATAATCGTACAAAATCTTTCTAAGTAATGTTATATATAACTATTCACGGAGTTTATGACCACTAATTTGGATTCACGCGACTTAAAATCCTATTTGGAATATTTTTTTTATATTTAAAAATTGAATTTGAAATTTTTAATTAAAGAAGAAATAACCTTACACGATTGCACCATATCATTTGATTCCAATCATTATAATTAAATTTGCTTCCCACCAAATAAGGCCCTATACAGAACGAACGTATATTGAATACCAAATAAATATTTCCTCTGTCCCAATTTATATAACTTACTTTTTTGTTTAATCCGTCTAAAAAAAATGATACATTTCTGTATTAGTAACAATTTAACTACAAATTTTTATTATTTATTTTGGATCATAAATTTTAAAAGTCTTTATTTCTTTCTTAAATTCAAAGTACCTAACATCAAATGAGACGGAGCGAGTAATAAAAAAAAGCAAAGACCGTATATATAGTAGTAGTATATAAAATGATTTTTGTTATTCAAAACATTGAACGAAGATGTTGGCATGTTGACCATTCTACAGGGAGGCGTGGGGTTGCTCAGTTTGTCCATTTTTTCTTATCCTACGCATCTAACTTGTCTCATTTCCCCTTACACTCTGTCTCTGCTCTCTTCACTCACTGTGCCAAAAAAAAAAAAAGAGAAAGGAGGAGCCGTTTTCATCACAACAGCTTTATTTTCTGCTAATCTTCTTCTGAAACAGAAGGTTTCACTTTCTGGGGCTCCTCAATAGCCTAAAGAAAAGATTTTTATTCTAAGCATGTGCTTCTCTCTAGTGTACAAATGATACTAGTACTTTTTTCACTGTCCCAAAAAAAAAAAAGAATCTTGAAAATTCAAGATTCAGTCAATCCCCTTTTTTTTCTTTCCTTTTTCATCTTCCAATAGTCAGTTCTAGCTGTTTTCTTGAACAGTAGCACATTGCGTGAAAGTTAAAGGTATTGCTGTTCCTATTTTATTTGTTTGAGAGTGGTTTCTTGTGAAAAGTTTGTCATAATTGAACACAGCTCAGGGTGTTACTGTTCATTGCTATTTTCTTGTTTCTGATATTTTTGCATGAAAATGTGAGGTTTTTTTTTTCCTTTCTTTTTGGGGACAAGGAGGTGTGAGTGATGTGGTGGGTAGAAGGGTCAGTGGTTTTTTTTTTCTTTTTCCAATTAATGTGTAGATAATGTTTGATAGAAGCCAAAGTATGTGAATCACATTCAGCAGAGTGTGAGAAAAAGGTGAAGAAATTCAAGAAAGGATTTTTTTTTGAAGGAGGATTGTTAGCTCAAGTAGAGAAATGAATGATAGTTTAGCCATAACAGCATCATCATTGGCCATTACTGAGAAAAAGCCTCAAAGGCCTGGGGGTTGTGTGGGTATTTTCTTTCAACTCTTTGATTGGAACCGTAGATTTGCCAAGAAGAAGCTGTTTCCAAAGAAACTGCTTTCACCAGGTTTGCTACTATATTCTACTCATTTTTTAAGCTAGAATGGTTACTTTTTGCTAGAAGGGTAAATTATTTCTTTGTTTGTGTTGTATTCTTATAGCTCGCTTGAAACAAGCTTCAAAGAAGTTTGGAGGGGATGAGAAGCAGCCAAAGCATCGTTTGGTACTCATTTCTTGAACAATACTGCTACATTTAGCTTTGTTTTTACCTAGTGTCTCAGCTGTGAGCCTGATAAAGTTTCTGTTTTTATTGTTTTCTGTTCTTGTATGAACAATGTAGATTGCTAATGAGAACAGTGGGGGTTTTCCAAATGCAAAGAACAATGGAATGAGCAGTAGTCGTTGTGAAAGCAAGCGTGAAATGAAAGCACCAAGTTTGGTTGCTAGGCTCATGGGTTTGGAATCAATGCCAGCAGGACCAGGTAGTAAGGCCAAGAAGGCTTCAGCATCTGAAATTGGGAGCAATGTCGCGGAGAAACTTGATGCTCGGCCAAGCGGATCTGATAAAGAAGATATGGATTGTGAGAAAGCTGAAATAAAGCGTGAATTGAGGCCTCAAAAGCTTCAGAAGATAGGGGTGAGCGAGAGACGTCCAGTAAGCAGATTTAGTGCTGAAGCATTGCAGTTGAGGACTGTATTGTCAAGGCCAAGGAAACATCAGCCTAAACTGGTTTCTCCAGTAAAAAGTCCTAGAAATGTCTCTGGTAGAAATGCATCTAGGTTGATTGGGGCTGCAACTAGGATTTTGGAACCTGGTTTGCAAAAGAGTAGGGCGAAATGTGCTCTCACTTATCCTAAATATTTTTCTCCTTTGGAAGATAAAGCAGATTTAGCACTGCATCATTTGGAAGGCTCTAATCCTTATGTGGATTCAAAGACTTTGGAAGTGAGAGCATCTGTACCTTCATGTAAAAATTGTGGTTATATGCTTCATAGTAAGAACGGTACACCAAATGTGGAAGAACACCCATCGTCTGTCTCGTCACCTGTCTCTAGTTACTCTGAACCTTCTTGTCAAGGTCCAGGAAGAAATATGCCAAGGTTGCCCATTTTCAGCAGCAGGGATCAATTAGAGAGAGTTTCTGAGGGTTCGTCCTCAGACGCCAATGCTGAAATAGATGATGTATCATACTGTGCAGAACTCATATTGGGCAAGCGACCTATTAGCAGAAGTCGAATAGAGATGCATGGCTCCCGCCAAGGGAGCAATGCGAAAAAGGATGCATCATCTGTCACTCATGTGTTTAACCAGAAGCAAAATCAAACATCTCAGAATAGAGAGAGGGGTTTCATGAAGTCCAAGCCAAGTAGTTTGCAGAGCAACAGAGTTTTAGCAGCTGCAGAATCTATGAATAATACCAAAAATTTTGCTGCACAGAACAGAAGGTTAGGTGCATCTACCCGTTTGAGGATGCCAGCCACAGCCGACGGCTGCAAGTTTGAAACTGAAAGAAAACCTTATTCAAGGAGAAGTGATTCCCTCTCTCCGGTGCGGAAGAAGAGATTGATGAATGTCTCTAGACAAGGTGAAAGTTCTAGTTTTGTGAATGGGAATTTGGGAAGAGAATCAAGTCCTTATTCTGACAAAACAAGTAGAAGAGATGTTGTTTTCCCAATTTGTCCCGTTAATAGTCACTCCACTAAACCCAGATTGCCATGTTTGCGAGAGAGTGGTGCAACCAATGATAGTTCTGAGGGAAGTAATGTTGTTTCGTTTACTTTTAAATCTGCAATGAAGCAGAAAGCTGGCATTCATGCAGAAGTCACAAAAAGGAAGTCTCACAATAGCTCAAGTTTTGATGCTACTCCAGGGAGATCCATCTTTAATGGTAATGATGAAACAGCATGCTTGCAGAAATCCTTTCCTTTGAAAGGAGACATTTTAGGAGCACTTTTGGAGCAAAAGCTAAAGGAATTGACTAGTGAAGAAGAGTTCGCAGAAGGAGGTGCTGCACCTAGAAAAAGCACTGCGACAATCCTTCAGGAGCTAATAACTGCTTTGAATGCTGAGAGACAATGTCATCTGGATAGTTTGCCTGTTAGACCTACCAGAAAAGAAGATTTGTGTGATGATGGTGACGTGTCTTCAAGAAATACGTGCATGAATTTCCAGGTAACCATTGCTTAAATGTTAACTATCTGAAGTTGCAATGAATGAAATGTTTTCCTTTTTAAATCTGGAGCGACATAAATATCTACGATTTCTTAAGAGGGGTAAACAACTTTGGACTTGTGGATAATTCATAACTTACATTTGATGTAACCAGTTCTCTTCCTGCCTCTCTGTGATTACTAAACCAAATCTTGGTGCTAGTGCAGTCAAGATTACTTATACAGCACACTATATTACGGAAGAACACTTCTGTTTGGTTTATAATATGTAGTCAGAGCACAAGGAAAAATCCAATAGTAGCTAGCAATCAGAAAGACTAGATCAAGCAAAACCTAGTAATACTGCAGATAAATGGAGCAGTCTTTCATACTGGTGACATCATGCTAAATTTCATGATTGGTTAATCCAACTAATTTGGCTTTAGCTGAGTGGGTTGAGCTGTTCATTGCCCATGAGAGGACTTGGCAGCATCAACACTAGCTGATTGAAAATACTTAGTACAATCATGGTGTTTAGGCATCAAAGAACCACAATCTTGCTGGATTGATTTAGTTCCATTTTATTTTTTATTTTTTAAAAAAAAAGAATTAGTACCATTTGATTAGATTCCTTGATTAGTTGCATAAAAGGATCTTTCTTCCCATTCATTTTCCATTAGAAATGAGAAGTGCATATTCCACATACACACTATTTAACTGTTTTTGGCTTCTCTTTTGATAAGGGTTTAATTTTATATAAGAAGAACAACAGTTAGATAGTGCATCAAAAGTAACAGATTGTGCAAATTTAATATCATCTCTATCAGGGAATCTACATCATTTACGATGATCAGGTTGCACCAAAAAGCTAGCAAATACATCTGTGCTAAGCTATGCATATTTCTTCTTAAGGCTATGTATGCATCTGTGCTCAAAGCTAGAATATTAACTGCTTTTGGCTTCTTATTAAATGTGAAACACATGCGACCGTTGGAACTGCATTATTAGTGGTCAGGAATTAGCATTTCAGTATACTAATGGTTCTTACTTTCTTAATGCATAAAAGCCAGTTTATCAGTGTTTCCTTTAAGTACATATACCCAGGTTAGGCACCTAATTTATGATAGAAATTTAGCAGCTGGCTCATAAAATTTTAACACCCAAGATCAAATGAAACCTTTTTCGGTTGTCATCATGTAGGCTAGGCTTCTGAGTTTTGAGAAGGCCTTTTCTTCTTTCCTCACTCAGCCAAAGAGGTTTAGTTATTGAACTATTCAGCATTTTTCCCCTCAATAATTTCTTTCCTTGCTTTTTAAGTGCATGAAAAATTTTAAATGCTTTTGCTTCGGTTATAAAAACCAAGTTATCAGTGTGAATCTTATTATTGCTTTTGAATTTGTGCTCAGGCCACGCCAGATTCAGCAACTGATTTAGTTGGGAATTCACTTGATAATGATCACCTTAGTCCAGGATGTGTTCTTGAAGCTACATTTTCAACTGACAGCTACCTCTCCAGCAGTCCCAATAGTAGCTCAAGTATGGTCCTTCATAAGCATTTTACTATTTGCATACTTCCTTTCTTTCTCTCAAAACATCACATAAAAATGAAAAAAAAAAAAAGGACAACTCTGAATTTGGATTTCATGCATACATGCTTCTAATGTATATGCTTGTGTACCTCCAGAGGACAAAGTGCTTGCTGAATCCGTGGACTCTATTTATGATGAACCACTCTTTCCAGAACCTGATAGAGATCTTTCGGATTGTGCGACCTCATTATTCACCAGGAGGAGTTGCAGAGCACTGATCACAGATCATGTTAACAACATTTCTGGAGTGCTAAGCAAGATTGATCAGTTAAAAGGAAGCAAACTCGGTTACGCAAATGAGGTCATTTTGAATACTGAACTCATACTTGGAACCACACCTGAACAACAGGCTTTACATGTAGATGATGGGTTATCCGTGAGCCATTTTCTCCTCAATGAACTTGAAATGCTATCAAGTCTTCTATGGATGACTTTTGGTCAGTTGCTCGGCTGTAATGATCCCAAACAGATGAATCAGCTTAAAGGATTTGCCTTTGATTGTCTATTAGAGTATCTAGACTCTAAATTTGGTCGATACTCTGATTCTGGTTTCAGAATCTGGTCTAAACTACCATCAAGCATGACTAAAGAGATTCTGATTGCTGATATTATTGAAGAGGTCAAAGAGTGGACAGAATTTGTTGGGTTGATCCCCGACGAGCTAATAGAATGGGATATGAGCCATTCTTTGGGTAAATGGACAGATTTCGAGATTGAAGAATTTGAATGTGGCACTGAAGTTGATAGGCATATTCTCCAAGTATTAGTAGATGAAGTTGTTTTGGACCTCTACAGTTCTAGCTAAATTTGGATGGAACTGTTTGTAGCTCCTCTTTTTGAGAGTTTGTAGTAAGCCTATCAGTGTTCTCATGTGATAACTCTGGCCTCAATAATTTCAAGCAAAGTATTTTGTACAAATCATATATTCTGCATCTTATATTCCTATTTATTATACTTGCTTTTTACATTCATGAATGAGCATTTAAGAACAGTACCAATTGACAGGCACACAATGAAAAATGGTTGAAATGTAAGAACAATTAGAAGGGATACAAAATGGATGCAATAAGAAAAAATCTATTATTATGATATTCAATGTTCATCAATCCATAACCAAATTACTTTCTATAGTTCCCATTCGGTTACAATGAATCAGTCTGATTCAAACCCATTGCTCTATACAACTCTTAGCCAAATTTGAAAAATAAATATTCTTTAAGGAAAACAAAAAGGAAATCAAAAACCAATCTTTCATCAAGCAAATAAAAAAAAGAACGGCAGCCGATGCACTAACCTCCCACTATGTGCGGGGTTTTTGGAAAGGACCAGACCACAAGGGTCTATGGTATCAATTTTACCAATTACACCAAAGCACCCTTTCCGACCGAGCAAATCAAAGAATCAAAACCCCTAAGAGAAAACAAGATAAAAGAATTCATAATTGTCTGTATCCAAGAACAGTCCTTGCAGCAACTCTGTTTGTTCTTCCTACTCTGTTTTCTCCATTAATAGCACTCCTTGCCACAGAAGCCAATCCCTTCAGTTCATCAACATTAGCATAACTCTTCCTAGTCATCAAACCCCCAATCCTCTTATCCCCTGAATTCACCGATTTGCTACCTCCAATACTCCCAACACCCCCATAAAACTTCCCACTTTTCGAACCAGCCAGAGGCGGCGTAGCGGACTTCTCCTTCAAAGTCGGCAGCATAGTGGGTGGCGGCTTCCGATTCTCCTTCCTCAATGCTGATGAAAAATCAGGCACTGATTGAGCCAAAATCGATGACCCTTTTGTCCTCTTAGGTGGTGTTACCAAACTCCCCTGAAATTTCACCTGTTTCTTCGGCGGAGTAACAACAAACTCCTCTTGGAATACCAATTCCTCTTCCTCTTCAGGAATTGATTGTTTCATGTGCTTTATTCGCAATTTCTTTTCTCTAAGATCAGCATAAGCTTTGTAACGAGGACCCCTCTCCATGAGTAACCAGTCAGTAGTGAGTTGAAGGAATTGGGGCTGATCGGAATTTGAAAATTGAGAGAGAATTAGGGACTTGGGGTCTAGTGCGGCGTAGAGAGAATTAAGGGTTTGAGTTTGAATCAGAGATTCATTGTTCCCAGACATGGCGTAGACAATAAATTCTTGTGGAGTTTTGTGTTTGGAGTTAAAGATGATGAGTTCTTGGATTTGATGAAATTTTTTGTTGTTTTTCAAAAGATTTTGAGTCTCCAACGGTCTGATAATAAACAAGGCAAAAAGGACTAAGTTATAATTTTCTATTGCTTTTGGTTTTCTAACGTTCGTATTGAAAAAAAGGTGAGTCCAAAAGTCTAAACTAAACCCAAAGATTTAATGATAAAACATATTTAGGGATTCTATGAATCAAAGGAAAATGAAATTAGCATGATGATTAACGTTGGAATCCTATGCCAAAATTCAAAAATGACGAGGAAAATGTCAAGGCAAAGAAAAGGACCTTTTCTTCTCATAAGAAATATTTTTTCAAATCGGACGGCAATTTCTCAGCGTGCATTCGTGGATAAAAACCAATATTACCACATTCCCTATACTATAATTTCTGTGTCTTTATATATATATGTTACACAGGAATTTCGCAACCGCTATCCTTTGGGTGCACATAGGATAAAAATAACCCTTACCGAGCAAGCCCAAATGCGACCAGCTCGAGCAAGAAACAATTTTTTGGGCCTTTTGTTCCAAATTAAGTCTATTCTACAAGTGTTTACAGATGAAACTATAAGCATTAATCGGAGTCCAAAAACTTCTAAGTAGACCCCAGTGAAATGCTCAACTAGCTAACTATTGTGGTCTTTCATACATTCATTCTCTAGATTCATTAAATCAAACTTTGTGATACTTGTATTTCTGCCCTATATTAAATCGCGAGATTCTACTGCCAAATCCTTCCAATACTACCGTCCTCACAGCCGCAACTCCTTGATCAAGTGCTGCATCCACCTGTTCGTGTACAACAAGAGAAACATGAAAACTATTGTATTATTGAACATCAAGAGCTCACATTGTTATTCTTGCTTAGCTTAATTTTTTTTTCTGTGGTAGAAGTAATGAAGGATAAGGAGAAACCAATTGAGAGTTCCTTGCAATACATCATAATTCATATGTGTACGTAAATACAAGGCAGAGAAATCAATAGCTATATCCAACACCACCTTATTCTGATTTCTTTTTTACAAGAGGCAACAAATATTTTGCAGACTAAACAAAGGTATATATATGATAATGAAGTTTAAGAGACAACTTGACCCATCCATTGGAATGCCTTTCATGATGAGATATGGTACTTTGACAAATATCAAGAAGATAAAATAGTACTTTGCCAAGCATCAAGAAGCACAAATACCTGTTTCCGCTCTGTATCACTGAATTTTTGTAACAGATATGCCTTCATGTCCATAGTCCCAGGTGGATTCCCAATGCCTACACATATACATAAAAAACATGGCGTTCAGCTCGGGATTTGGTAGAGCAATTTTGTGGTATATGAATACAGTTTCAATTGGTAATTATGTGATTATGCTTTCACAACAAATGATAAGCAGCCAGGAGGTACCTATGCAAAATCGTGGAAAGTCCCGGCGACCATTCAAATGCTCCATCACACTTTTCATCCTGCCGAATAAAAACAGAAATCAAATGAGAGTTTTCTATATTCTGCACGGTCAATAGAGATCTTAATAATTTGTCCATTGGAAAAAACCAATGAACTAATATTACACACAGTACGATTACAGAGCCAGTGCCATTTAGATTTGACTACTCAAGAACAATACCCATTATGATGGCCATGTCCTCCTTTAGGCTGGAGTCTCAAAATACCATTGGGTAAGCTCATCTCGTCGTAAACCTACAAGGACGAGCGCAAACACTGTAAACTTCAAATCATGGAAAAAGAATATTTGGAGCACCACCTACATAGTATTATCCAGTATAGAACACCAACCTCAACCCTAAAAAAAGGCAAAGATAAACTATTTCCTACAGTTATAAAAAAATGAAAAAAAATAAGCCATACCAGAAGGATGTGACGCAACGGCACCTGATAATATGCTGCAAGAGGTCCAACCTAGTAGGATAAAAAAAAATCATTTGGATGAGGTCCATATTAACCAAAGAGGAATAAAGAACCCCCACCCTAAAATGGAAAAAAGAATGAACAGGGAAAAGGATAGAGAGAAGAAAGAATTGCTTTGTTACTTTTGTTAATAAAAGCTTAAGCAAGAACTATAAAAGATGCAACATCATGAAAACTACACATTCAATGACAGAACCAACAGGGAAAGTAGAACACAAGAGCTAAAGGATATATACAGGAAGCGCCTTTCAGATGACATACTAAGGAACAACCAGATCAAGCTTTTACCAGATTAAAGCATCTATTATATCACATATACATTAACTGTAATGAACCATCAGCAGCATGATTTCTCTCATTCATGTTTTTATCTTAGTTACATAGCCAACCAGAGGAAATAACTATATCCAACTTTGTGCTACCTTCTAAATAAATGACCTTTATCAAAAGATAAAAATCTTCTAAATAAAATGATAAACTCACAAGAAAATAAGGTCTCAAAAGTTCTCGAAAGGCTGAAAAACTTGCTTTGGAAATTCTTTTCAATTTGTTTTTCCAAATATTGTTTTCAACCAATACCATGAAAAAGAAGTTTATTGTTTCTCAAAACTGAAAAACTACTTTTGAGTAGCTTTGAAAAGTTATCAGTTTTAAAAAAAACAAAAAAACAGAAGAACCTCTCTTTCTTGGTGTTTGGTTGAAAAACATTTTTGCAGAAAATTGAATTTTTTTTATGATTGGAAACCTTCTTCAAAAATATTGAAGCAAACTCCACACCATCTCACCCTAGTCAATACATATCTGAAACACGAAACACCAGAAAAAATAAACAGTTCAAGAGAAAGTAAGTAGAACATAATTGCTTTAAAATCCCTGCAGTTTAGCTAGTTGTGGGATAGTAATATTTAGGAAGTAGAAGTATCAGTGAAAAAGCTTTCCTTTTTCATTCTAATTACAATATTTCAAAGAGCCAGTCGGTCAAAATATAGTAAAATGGAAATAAAAAACTTTGTCTGTATAACATTTGCTACCTGATAGGAGGGCTAAAACTGTGAACTTTGGTATCAGTTTCAGAAAAATTAGAAGGCAAGTTTCTATGAAAAGGGTCAATCTGCAGCAGATGGCATCTGGTTAACTTGAAGTGTTGGTCCACATCCACCAAGCCTTTAATATTAGGGCAATCAGAGAGTTGATCAAAGAACCTAACATGTTTCAACTCTTTCTAAGCAGCAGATGCACAAACATAATAGGCAATGTGTGTGTCCATTACAAGTAGAAGCTGATTTAATAAGAGATAACAAGTCAACTGAGTGGAGTTCCACAATGCTGAAAGAACATTTTTATACGAGGCAGAATAAAAGCTTTGATCCAAATCAAAGGCGACAAGGTTGCTACACAGGTTATCACAAGGGACAGTCTAAACAAAAGTAGACACTTTCATTGTGAAGCAAACACAACAGCTGTATCATATCAACTATCCATGTCAATCGAAATGGAAGAAACACGTGTAAACCAATGATAGAAAAGCGTTTAACGTTGTCCATATGGCCATTAAGTACCGAATACTTCACTTTGAATAACTAATTAATGAGTTATAACACTGAAATACTAAACAACAATAGCTGCGGAATACATACTGATTCTCCACTGAAATTCATGTAGGCCTGAGGCTTTGCCAATACAACAGGTACCTCCCCAATGGAACCTGCACCAAGCCCATCACAAAGAACCCGTCAAAGCTCAACACTGGTAAGGAGAACACAAATTACAACAAACAGATTCAAATAACCACCTATCCCTATCAAGGCC